GTCCGTTGAACACGCTCTGTTGAGGCTCGTGTAATCCACGCACATTCTCCAATCTCCTGACGGTTTCGGCACGAAGACCACATTCGATAGCCAAGTAACATAAGAGGTTTCTTCGACCAAGTTGGCACCCAGGAGCTTATCCACCTCGACCCTGAGTGCCGCCTCCTTCTCCGGCAATAGGTTCCTCCGCTTCTGCTGCACGGGGCGTCTGCCCTCTTCGACCGCCAACCTGTGCACGGCTGTTTCGGGGGTGACGCCCGGCATTTCTAGCGCACTCCACGCAAAAAGCTCCGCGAACTCCCTTAGAAGGGCTATGAGGTGCTCCTTCATTTCGTCGGGTGCCTCTGCCGATATCCTCACCTGCCTTTCTGGGCGTCCTTCGTCTAGTGCCACCATTAGCTCCTCGTCGGCAGCCTCGGCTCGGGTTGCCTCTTCTGCGACAGTTTCCATCACGTTGACTCTTGCAACGGAACACCTTCGCTTCCGTCCTGCTTCTTTCGCATAACGCGGGGCGCCTCGTCCCCGGGCTATGCCTACTCCTTGCGGAGCAATGAATTTTAAGGTTTGATGACAAGTAGAGGCCACCCCATTGAATAAGGCAAGGAGGGGTCTTCCCAGGATCGCGTTGTATGGTGAAGGGCAGTCCACTATCCCGAAGTCGATGGCACGCGTCACCCTTTTCTCCCCATACCCCAAGGTGACCGGTAGGCGCACTCGCCCTATTACTCTGGCGGGCGCCCCTGAAAAGCCGACTAACACCGACTCCGATGGTCTGATAAACTCCGGCGATAATTGTATGCGAACCACTGTATCTTTGAACAACACGTCCATCGAACTTCCCGTGTCGACGAGCATCCTTCTCACCTGGCACCCCGCCACCACTCCTTGTATTTCCAGGGCATCCATGGATGGGAGCATGCAAGCTTCCTCTGGCGCCCTATTGAAGCTGATATCTATCGCCTCCTGCACATCTGCCTATGCCGCTCTCAGCCGGCGGTTTGCCTCTATTTTTTCCCTCAAGTCCATCGTTCCTGAAATAGCTTTGATGGTCAGACGTACTCGTTTGGGCGCATTTTCTTGGTCGAGGCCATAGAGCGGGGGTGGTAGCTCTTCTTTCGCTTTTTCCATACCGGCCACGCACGCCTGATGCACTCTCTCTTCAGGCTTCTTGACGAAGTCGTTAAGCATCCCTCTGTCGGCCAGGCCTTGCAGCTCAGTCTTCAACTGATAACAGTCAGTCGTATGGTGTCCCACCTCTCGGTGAAAGTCACAATATCGATCCAGGTTCCGTTCATTGGGCTGTCCCCTCATGGGGCCCGGCCATTTGATGTGATATCCCTTCTCCTTGACATGCTGGAGTATGTTCTTCAGCGTGTCGTTATACTCAACAAAGGCTCCAGCTCCCCTGGCCGTCGGGCGTCCGCTGTCCATTCTCCTCGGTGGGGGGGGGGGGGGGTTCGCGGGCGCATACCCTTAACCGCTCCGCGGGTGCGGCCTCCTGGCTGTCTGCCCTTCTGGCTGCCAAGGTTTCTTCGAGCATGATTACCTTTTGCACTCTGCGATCTAAATCTTCAGTGCATACAACGTCTCTTTTTGCCAGCGACCTACGCAGCTCTTCGCTGGTGGTACATTCGTTCAGGCATACTCCCAATACTGACGGATGCGCGTCTTTCACCGCCAAGGCCACGGACAGCCACCTCTCATAAAACTCCCTCAGCGCCTCTCCATCTCTTTGCTTGACCTTGAACATGGCGCCTATGGTCAGGGTGCGACGCTTCTTGCTGGCGAACTTCGCCAGAAACATCTCCACAAATTGCTCAAAGCAATCAATGCGCCCCTCTTCAATCTGGTAGTACTAGTCGAGGACCACGCCCGCGAAAGTTGACGGAAACACTTTGCACAGGGTGGCGTCTGTACTGTTGTAGAGCTGCATCTTGGTGAAGTATCCATTAAGGTGGTCCTCCAGATCTGCGGTCCCATCATAGGTGGGGATCGGGGGAATGTTGGTCCCCGCAGGCTCCATCAGTCTATTGCGCGCTAAAGGCTGTTTCACGGGGCAATGTTGGACAAGCGCCCCAAAATTCCTCTGCTCCACCCACCTGCGTCTGGCCCTTCGTGATCGCGTGGGCGCCACAAACTCGGGCGCCTATGATATCCGGACTCACTTTATGTCTCCGTCGCCTTTTCTCTCTTCTTCGTTGGGCTGGGCGTCATCCCTCCGCTCCTTTTTAAAGCGTCGACCTTCCTTCGAAGCGCCTCGATCGCTCCGTCCTGATCCTCGATGATCATAAACAACTATTTTTCATTACCGAGGCGCCTTCCGACCCACGAAACATGCCGTCACTTTCTTCACCCTCCTCCATCTCGGGCGTCAGCCCTCTCATCCGCCCCGACCGTTCCTCCGTCACTTCCTCTCTTTCTCCGTTCATTGACGTCTCCTCACTCATGACTTCTGGTTATATTCCCCTACTTGGCGCGCCAATTGTTTGAGCCACAGCACCTGCCGGAACGCCTGGTACTTCCCTTCGCCAGACGCCTACCTACACACACGAACAAGGAGGGGGCGCCTGGGCCCGTTAATCCTCTGACGCCCAAGTTAGCTTCTTAGAGAGGGAAGTGTCCCAAAGTAAGAGTATTTAGTGAGAGAGTCCAACCTGCGTAAATGTTACCAACTGCCTCTATTTATACTCACCGAGTTCGAGGTTGATCTCTTCCACGTCACTATCCCCATTTCATGCCTTGTACCTCCCCTGGCTTTTAGTGTTTTGTCCTCATGCGCCCCTCATCTTACTTGGGCCTAGAGATGCCTCACTAACCCATTCATGGGCCTTTTCCCCCAACTTTGTTGTTTGGGGGCCCAGACCACTAATTGATGGGTAGTACCCCAACAATTACGCACTCATCCTCGTATGCAACCTAGATTTAATTGCTTCACGAACTACCTTTATGATTACTAACTATATATATATATATATACTCAAATAATGCATGCTAGTAAGATCCATTTCTCGTTGTAATCAACACATATGTACATTACAAGGTAATTAATTAATAATCTCCACTTAACTATTTAAAAGGTCATTTTTATCCCGTACATGCTAAATCCTAGGTAGGTGATTTTAACGTATACTATACCACTAGCCATATTTAATTTACATACGCAAATTTAATAGCTACCATCACGTCACAATTATTCCTATTATACGAATCATATTGAAAATAACTAACTCATTCATCTATTAATTTAGTCAAGCCATGCATGAAGAACTTTTCGTTATCTCCTTCCCGTTACTATCATTAATTCAATAACTCCGATCGTCACTCAATTAAATATAACCAAGTGTTATGGGACAATCCAAGTACCACATCGGAAATACAAGGGAAGGAATCCTTGTATAATATTGTCCACCAAGCTTATCAGTACGAGGCCTTTTGGGGAGGCCACCCAACAGTAAAACCGTGCGGGCTTGGCCCAAAGCGGACAATATCATACTAATGGAGCAATCCCGGTTATGACACTAAGATACCCAAAACTCAAAAAGACATGAAAGATGAGGTTTAGCTCGTTACCTTAACTTCGTGCCTAGAACGTGATGGAGGTTGTTCAAACTATATTCGACATTGATCTCGTCGAATGATCACCCAATGCCAACGTAACTACAATTTAATTAAGTATGTGAACTGGTTACTAAAATGGACTGGTACTTTGAAATGTATTTAGGGTCAGTATATTAACGATAGGAGAAGGTGATATCGAGGGAGATCGAGCAATGACGGGGATGTTCGATCTACTATCGAATGAGGCTTCCACCATATGAAGTGCGACTTGATGCTTGATCTGCTTGTTGTTGCCGTGAACAAAAAGGAATAGAAATGGAGCTGCTGCCTTCCTTGTGTTTGTCGAGAGGAAGGAGAATGGAAAGGACCGGCTTCTTGTTGGTTGTCGAGAGGAATGAAATCTCGTTGCTTGCTTGAGTTGTTGCTGCCAAGAGGAGAAGATGGAAGATAATTGTTGTCTTTGTGTCGAGAGGGAGAAAAGGAGATGGTGTTGCCATCTTGTTTGCTGTCGAGGAGAATGAATGGAGTGGAGGGGAGCTGCTGGATCCTTGTTGTCGAGGGGGAGAATAAAAGAAGGTGCTGGGTCTCTTTGGTTTGTTTGTGTAACGAAAAGAAGATGGAAGGGTTGCTACTGCTGCTTTATTTGAACAGATAAACGGAAGCATCTCTTCTTCCTCTTTCTTTAATGGAATTATATTGATTGGATCTTATCTTGCCATTATTTCAGATCTGGAGTAATTATTGTAGGGACCAAGTGGTTGAATAATTGGAGGTACTAGCTTTAGGGATATGATGATGATTTATGAAGGTTGGAGATCTCAGAAGAAGGACACGTAAATGGGGAGCCAGTCACTATAAGTGTTCGTTTGTAACTAGATAATAATAATAACGTATTATTATTATCTCTTATTCACTGTTGCAACTCTTCGTACGTAATCGTCTATCCATTCATTCATTATTATGGTCGAACTTGAAGCCAAACGTCGGGGTGTTACAGGTTGATTAGATGAGTGGTGGAGGAAATTGCATGCATGCATGCACCCTTTTATTTATTGTACTAATTCAGCAGATGTAAAACACGAACAGTAGATATTATAATGCGTAGAAAGCACGGAAGGACACGCATTGGACGACACATGAAGCAAAGTTTGTATGGTGATCATGATTAACCTATTGGTGTGATTTGGTTTCAATCATTAGTCGTCCCCGGGAGCTGGTGCGTCATCGCCCTTTTGCTTATGACAGTCAATTTCATTGCCGTTTTTGGCCGTAGCAGTCAAGGCCACTGGTGCTGGTGGGGAGAAGTCGCTTTCGGCCTATACAGTAGCCAATCAATAACGGTTATTATATAATACTAACATAATGGTTATTATAGTTCTAACGTAATACTAACATGGCCGAAAGATGAAAAAGAATGTTGCGTGCATGCATGCAATGGATACCTGAAGGACACCGTCAACCCTATCCGAAACTATGGAAGGGAGCGGTGATGAGTTGGTTGTTGAGAGTCGGACCCTGGAAGCGCCATCGGAGATTAGAAAGCAAGCAGCCAACAACAAGAACAAAAGAATACAAGCTTTCGAAGCCATGGATATATATCTTTAATTTATTTAGTATGTTGCTTGGAGAAAATTTTCCTTATGCTTTCAACTGTGAGTTTATGTTTTTGCTATATGGAAGTGCGATTGTTCGACATATATATACACACATAAGTCCGGCTTTATTCCAATTAAGAAGACTCTAAACTTGATATTTGTGTGAGAAACAGGAAAGGAATTAGCTTTCGTACGTAATCCCTTCTACTATAGTTTGTCCTAAGTAATGTTTCAGTTTAATTGCTTTGCTACACCCGGATAAAGGAACCCTATTCCATTTGTCTCTTTTGTTTTCAGAAAATACTTGTTTAAATAACATACACACACGTATCCACATTCATTTCTCTTGTTTTGTAAGGAAACTCATCTATGTTACAGTGATAAATATGTTTGGACTTAGTACAAGTGTTAGCGTTAGCGCCCTTTACTATACTTACAACAAGAAATGATGGAGAAACCTTTGCATATTCTAAAGATTACCAGTTCCCTTCGGAAAACTGTTTTCGGTTTAGCAATTTAATTGTAAAAGGATAGTATGATCCCGGTTAGGAGAAGTGGTATCAGAGCCTGGTTCGGTGCGGGACAGTGGACGTCAGTTTGGTGGATCCTCATTCGGTGACCTTGGGATTTGAGATTCGCGTCTGTTTGGTGGATCTAGGAGAGATCCACGTTTGGGCTTGGCGGATCAAAGAGAGTTCCACATTTTGGAAGCATATCAAAGAGAGTTCTGCGTTTGCTAAAGTCCTTGTACCGAGATGCCCATTGAAATGAAGGAGCACCTCATAGCCCTTCTAAGGGAGTTCGCGAGCTTTTTGCGTGGAGTGCGCTAGAAATGCCGGGCGTCACCCCCGAAACAGCCGTGCACAGGTTGGCGGTCGAAGAGGGCAGACGCCCCATGCAGCAGAAGCGGAGGAACCTATTGCCGGAGAAGGAGGCGGCACTCAGGGTCGAGGTGGATAAGCTCCTGGGTGCCAACTTGGTGGAAGAAACCTCTTATGTTACTTGGCTATCGAATGTGGTCTTCGTGCCGAAACCGTCAGGAGATTGGAGAATGTGCGTGGATTACACGAGCCTCAACAAAGCGTGTTCAACGGACGCCTACCCAATGCCCCGAATAGACCAATTGGTGGATTCCACGGCATACCATGAGATGCTAAGCTTCGTTGACATGTTCTCTGGATACCACCAAATTCCCATGGCAGAAGAAGACCGACCTAAAACAGCCTTCATGACGCCCTTCAGAAACTTTTGATATCGGGTCAATGGATGGTCAACAACGTCTTCCGTCAGCAAATTGGTCGAAACATGGAAGCCTACGTGGACGACTTGATAGTCAAGAGTCGGAGGCGTGAAGACCACCTGGAAGACTTGGGGGAGACTTTCCAAGCTATGCGGGCGCATAGGCTCCGCCTCAACCCGCTTAAGTGCGTATTCGGCGCCGAAGCAGGAAAGTTCGTGGGATTCATGATCACCAAGCGGGGCATCGAGGCCAACCCAAAGCAGGTGGACGCCATTCTCAAGCTGACCTCACCGAAGACGCCCAAGGAGGTGCAAGGCTTGGCAGGAAGGTTAGCGGCCCTGGGGCGTTTCATTCCCCGATCCGCGGACAAGGCCGCTCCTTCTTTCGGACGCTCAAGAAGGCGGTACGTTTTCAATGGACTACTGAGTGCGATGCAGCGTTCGAAGAACTGAAGCAACTCCTAGCCGCCCCAACTGTGATGACGGCGCCCAAAGCGGGGGAGGCGTTGTACCTTTATATCGTCGTGTCGGAAGTCTCAGTAAGTGCAGTGCTCATCTCAGGGGAATCCCACTCTGGACAAGAAAGGACGGTATACTACGTCAGTCGCACCATGGTCACTCATGAAAGACGATACGCACCTATCGAGAAGGCCGCATTGACAGTTGTGATGGCTGCGACCAAGCTAAGGCCCTACTTCTAGGGGCACACCATTGTAGTACTCACCAATCTTCTGTTGAAGTCTACATTGGGGTCAATGGATGTGGCCGGGCGCCTTGTCAAATGGGCAGTCCAGCTAAGTGAGTTTGACATCCGGTATGCGCTTCGACCGGCGATAAAGGCACAGGTCTTGGCTGATTTCATCGCAGAAGGAGTAGCAGAGTCAGAGAGGGGTGCAGATGACTGTTGGCAGGTGCAGGTGGATGGGGCGGCCAGCCGCACCGGCGCTGGGGCAGGCATCGTAATGATAAGTCCTGGAGGCGCGATGCACGAAGTCGCATTGCGATTTGCAACACTAAAAACAAACAACGCCACGGAATATGAAGCGGTTATCGCCGGCATGAGTATGGTCAAAGAATTGGGCGCCAACAAGGTCCAGGTCAGGTCCGACTCGGCCCTTGTCGTCAATCAGCTTAACGGAGTCTTTGAGGTGAAAGAGGAGGCGCTGGAAGGGTACGTGCGAAGAGTGCGAGAGCTGGGAGCTTGGTTCGGAGAAATCTCTTTCGTCCACATCCCACGTGAAGAGAATGCCCATGCAGACGCTTTATCCAAGCTAGCGACCGCAGTGGATTTCGCGGAAGAACGAAAGGTTATAGTCACCGCAGAGGCGCCTCATGAACATCTGGTCGCTACCCTAGCAAGTGGGGGCACCGATTCCGGATGGATGGCGCCAATTTTACTGTTCCTAACCCAAGGCGTGGTGCCTGATGACCCGAAGGAAGCCTGGCGCCTCCGCGAAAGGCGGCCCGATGTTCTATAATCGCAGGAAAGTTGTACAAAAGATCTCATGCGGGAGCATACTTGAGGTGTCTTGACGAGGAGGAAAGCAGGGGGGCAATCGAGGAAGTGCATAGTGGAACATGCGGCATGCACGCAGGTGCACGAAGCCTAGAGAAAACACTGCTACGACAAGGTTTTTAGTGGCGAACAATGAAACGAGATACAAAGGCGCACGTGGGCGCCTGCCACCAGTGCCAAATTCATGCAAACGATATTCACATCCCGGCGGCACCCATGCAAGGCAATCTAGGAGCCTGGCCATTGGCCCAGTGGGGCATGGATCTCTTGGGCCCTTTTCCCAAGGCGCCCGGACAAATGAAATACCTGATAGTGGCGGTCGATTACTTCTCCAAATGGATAGAGGCAGAACCTTTAGCCACGGTCACAGAAGCCCAGGTACGAAAGTTCACCAGGAAGAACATATTCACTCGGTTCGGCTTGCCTGAGTCCATCGTCACAGACCATGGAAGGCAGTTCGATTGCAAGAAATTTGTGGAGTTCTGTGATGACAATGGTGTCGTGTTGAGATTTTCTTCGGTGGCCTACCCACAAGCAAACGGTCAAGCGGAGGCGGCCAACAAAAGTATCCTTCACGGGTTACACACGCGGTTGGCGGGCGCCAAGGGCAAATGGGTTGAGGAGCTACCAAACGTGTTGTGGGCGCATCGCACAACGTACAAAACCGCCACCGGAGAAACACCCTTCGCCTTGACTTACGGAAGCGAGGCAGTCATTCCTGTGGAGGTCAACATCCCAAGTTACAGCGTTGTCCAGTACGATCCAAACGGCAATGACGAGGCACGATCCAACGACTTAGACATGGCGGACGAAGTGAGGGAGGTGGCGGCAATCCGCTTGGAAAAAATGAAGCGGCAGGTGGCTCGATACTACAACAAGAAGATGCGTGCCCATGGGATCATTGAGGGCGCCCTAGTTCTCAAGCGTGACTTTCGCCCGGACGCCCGCGAGGGGAAGTTAGCACCAAAGTGGAAAGGCCCATATCGAGTCAGAGAGGTGGTAGGACCCAGTACGTTCAAGTTAGAGCATACTGACGGCATAGTGGTGAAAAGAACATGGAATGCACAAAACCTGCGAATTTACCGTGCGGGCGCCGCACCTGGGGAAGGCGCCTCAACTTGACAAGAGTGAGAAAGGGGAAATGACGGTCGTAGTTGTAAGTGTTTGTCTATGTCGAAAAGAAGTGTGTAGGTGCGTTTGTGTTGTGACTAAAGCGCTCGTGAAATAGCGCCGTATCGTGTCCAAAGCGCCCAGTATTCTAGCGCCCCAATAGTGACTTCATGTTTATTCCCGCCATTTCATATGAAGCAAAAGCGCCCAAACTTCGCGCCAGTAATTTTGTGCTAGTTAAAGCGCCCAACTTTGAGCCCGATTGTGTGTTTAAGTGTAAGAGGTTAAGGTAGTCATGAAAGCGCCCCGTTTCGCGCCCTTTAATCGCAAAGCACCCCAATATCGCGCCCTGAGTCAGAACAATAACGCGCCCAAATTTGCGCCATCAAAATGCGGTAATCAAAGTTAAAACAAAAATCGCGCCCAACTTTGCGCCCAACGGCTACAAAGCCCCCTCATCTTTTGCGCCCTAAAAGAGGATCAACGTTAAGTAAAATCAATCGTCACCAAGATACTATTCAATCACCAACGGAAACGCTTTTATAAATATATATATATATATAATAGCAGGATCCTACTTAAGCGGCGCCCATTCTTTACTCTGCTCCAGAATTGGCATCTCCAACACTAGGCGCCTTCGGAGATGGCGACGCAGGAGCAGATCCGCTAGGAGTCTCCATACTCGGCCATCTCAGTGAGGTCCCAAGTGTGATCGGGGTGATCCTTCTCCAGTTTAAACTTCAAAATTTCGAGGCCGGTCAAGATGGCATTGGCGCACATCCCCTTTCCAGCCTCGGACTCCTCAAAGGTGTCCAAAGAGTGGCGCAGGTCAGAAGTTTCTTTCCGCGCCTCTTTCAAGGATTTCTTAGTCTCCTTGTAGGCTAGAATTCTAAATCTACCCTCTCCAAAACTGTTTTTGCATTAGTGGGCAAGTTTCAAAAGTCTAAAATTCCAGAATTTGACATTAGCTCATAATACTATTTAGTGTTGATTTCATTAATCTAATTACCAAAATTTGGCTTCAAAGTTCGAGTCCATTTTAGTAACCAGTCCACGTACAGAATTAAATTGTAGTTACGTTGGCCAAGTGATTGGGTGATCAATCGACGAATATAGTTGGAACAACCTCCATCACGTT